AAAAAGCACCAACATTATACTTGAAGTCTCATAATAGCTGGAATTTCTATAGCACGAAATGGGGATTTGTTAGATTAAAAAAATGGAACAACAAAATGATTATAATCCTAATTTCCCTGCACTCAAAGAATGTTGACCCTTGCTTTAAAACATAGTTCTTCTTTTCATAGGGAGCCCTCGAAGTGTAGAAGTAGTTCTTATGCAGAATGTTACTTGTGCTGAAACCTTAGACATTTTGAAGCAAAGCACATTCGTTTCTTAACTAATTAGTTTCTTAACTAAAGATTGAAGCCATGGCTTCAGTCTTTCACTGGCTGAATGCAGCTAATGTGGGGATCTGAAGGAAAGAAGGGGTCTGCAAGGAAGTGGCAGACATCATTGTTATAAAATAATTTTTCAATACATTCTGGGAGAAGTAAAAAAGGAGAAAAAGAACAAAGACAAGGGCTTAGAGAACAGGAAAGCACAAGGAAGGAAAACTAGCAAGCGCTGCATTAGAACATAGCCAAACACGTGGACTATTAGGGGAAGTAACTGGAGGAGCCAAATCTAATATGGAGACCCTCCATGCACTTGCTCTTCACGGAGAAGGTAATCCGTAAGCATCACTCTCTTAGAGCATGTGAAAGAGAGCATGTCACTGGAGCAGGGAATGAGCTAGGGACTGGCTGTGTTTGTTTGTTTGTTTTCTTTTGCTTTTGCATTGGCTAGCAGAAAGTCCCAAACACTGTTTATCTAATCAATTAGGGACAGCATAAAACACAGGGGGAAAATACAATCACTAAGTGGAAACCCTATCCCTTCTTTTTTTGCCATTTACAGTTTAATCTGGAGAGAGAACTAAACATTTTCAAGTCATCCAACATGAAAATCCAAATCACATTTAGAATACTATTCATCACATATTACTTATATACTGAAAATATACTATGTCCAAAGAATTTGAGATTGTTTACTTTTAGTCTTCATATTTTTGACAATAAAATCAAACTATTCAATTAAGAGAAAGAAAGGTAACTCTCTTTTCTTTGATACAGTTCATCATGAATCCCTGGTGGTACAGTGGTAAAAATCCTGGTTTGTTACCCAAAAGGTCAGCAGTTAGAACTAACCAGCCACTTTAACTAACCAGCAGTTAGAACTAACCAGTCTGCTTTTGTTTGTAACATTTTACAGCCTTGGAGACACTAGGAGAATTCTACCTTGTCCCAGAGAGCTCCACGGAATCAGACTACACTCAATATCAGTGGGTTCAGATAGGTAATTCATCATATGCACTAGGATGTAAGGTTAAAAACAGATATTTTCTATCCTAAGCTAAGAAGTAGGTGACATTCTATTCTGAGAAACAATTTTATCAGGAGATAAAATGTCTGAAAACCTTACTTATTAATAATAAGAGATTAAAGTTGGGAAGTCTAGTGCCTCTATTGACTTTATAATATGTAACATTGATATTGAGCTTTGCCATACTCTCCTTCCACAACTGTAGCCTATTTGACTTGTGTGTGCTCTGTCTGTCATGTCTATATATATATATATATATTTCTCCCCCATAGAATCTTTCAATATTGTAAGTTGAGGCTCGAAATTTTTCTTGAGTTCAATGAGTTTCAAATATGCTGAGTATGTTCCTCCTTTTGGTTTTCTTATTCTAGGTCTTTGCACATTTATTTAATTAAAAAATTTTTTTCAAACCATTTTATTAGGACATCATTCAGACATCGTAGCATTCAATAGAGAAGTCATATAAAGCAGTGTTATACAATGACTACCACAATCATTTCCAAAACATATTTTTCCTTCTGGTACTCCCCATTGTCCCCACTCCCCTGCTAGAACCCCCAGGAAACTTACTCTAGTTATTGTCTCTGCAGATTCACCTATCCTGGGTTTCATGTGCTGAAAACACAGAAAGACACTTAAAAGAGAGTCACGAATGCTACCACAATAACAAAGTACGAGAGAGATAAGCACCAATATGAAAAAACAAAAAACAACAGAAAATATTAAAAATCAAAACAAGCTCAAAGTATGTCAAAAGGGAGATTAAATAACAAGGTTTAAATTATTCAAGTCAGATTCATCATTTAAATCTACTATGATCATCTCTTCAATACTCTGTCTGATAACCAGATTATTCCCACCCCTGAATGATGGTCAGAGGGGAATCACTGAAGGCTTATTCCATGTGTAGATCTGGTGAATGTATTTTGGGCTTCCATTGTCCTCCATAGCCATCTGCAAACCAGAATTTCACAATTTAAGCTCTGATATAATTTCCTCCTTTAGATTTGGGTTATATAATTTACAATCCTTGGATCACAGATGCTGGTGTGCTTCTTCCACGTGGGCTTGGTTGACATCTCATTTAGATGGCTACTTGTTTTTAAAAAAAATCTTTTAAACCCCTAGATGCTATTCTTTCTGATTGCCAGGTGTGTTAGTTTGGGTTGACTAGAGAAACAAATTCACAGACACGGATATGTGTGTAAAAGAGAACTTTATATCAAAGAGCAATTGTATATTGAGAAAACATCCCAGCCCAGGCCAGATTAAGTTCATAAGTCCAATCATAGCCCATATATCTGATACCAGTCTATAAATTCCTCTTCAGACTCATGCAGCCATGCAATAATGCCGAATGCAGAAAGATCACAAGCAGTGGTGGGAAAGTCTTGTGTATCTAGTGGTGGTGGAAGCATCTCAGTGCTGGTGTGGGTCTCCATATGGACCCTCCAGCTCCAGGACCCTGGAGTGTAACTCCAAGTGGCTTGTCAGCAGGAAGATGAAGCAGAGAGAGTGTCTGGCCTCCAGTGAGCTATTTATCTCCCATCAAGCTGCGACCTGATTGACAGGCTAGACTCTACCCCTTCACTCTTAATATTCTCAAGTTGACACAAGATTATGTAACTCCCACACCAGGGACCATCTAATTTCTTCACCACATGCTTACATATTTCCTTTATGAGGGTGTGTATGGAGCAGGGCTAAACGTTTTTTGGATTAGAGCTAGGCTTAACTGCAACCCCCAAAGCTATCCCTAAATCTATGTTTTCTATCTGCCTCTGGTTCACCTGAGAGACATCTTTGTGATTTTATGGTAGAGAACCACATCAATCATCTCCCTGGAGCATAAGGTTCTTCTGTTTATAGTGTCATTGATTTAGCCCATGGTAATATATTTAAAACACTATTGAGAGAGAGAAATTAAATAAGTGTAGGCTAACTTCAAATCACAATACATGGGTTATTGACTTGTACAGATTAAACTGTTTATATGACTGGACAATATTTATACATTTAGTTATAATATTTTACTTTGCCTTCTCAAACTGCCCTTTGAAAATTTCTGCTCTTTAATGTCATAATTTCTTCCATTTGCCTTAGCTACTCTATGACTAACAGCAACTTTCAGAGTCTCTTCTGACATCCAGTTTGATTTTTCCTTTTTTTCTTGTCTTTTTAATGACTTTTTGCATATATATGAATCATGTGCTTGATATCCTCTCAAAGCTCATTAGGTTTTCTCCCATTAGTGTTCAATGAAGCAAACCTGTTCTTGAGATGTTCTGAAAATTCAGGTGAGATAGACTCAAAGTTGCATTTCGGCTCTTGTGAACTTGATTTCATTTTCTTCAACTTCACTAATGTCTATGGAGTGGATCTTTATATGTTCCATTTCATTTTTGGGTACTTCCACTTTTCTAACAATCATAGCTTATACATTCCAGGTTCTCACTATTATATAGTTGCAGCTGTTTTTTTCTTACCTTTAATTACAATGAAAGGTAGTCCATTGAAGATCCTGAAGACCCTACCCCACAGGCTTTCCTCCATTCACCTCACTGTGGGCGACTCTACTTTCAGACAGCAGCCCCTTCTCAGTCACATCGAGAATGCCTTCCAGCCCGAGGGACCTACACAGTATCTCTGACAATATCAACTTCAATTCATTAGGCTTTAGGCATTTGCAATGTTTTGAATCTATGCATGATATTCTCTGGGAAAAATAATTAATAGTACAGGAAGCATCAAAAGAAGATGAAAAGAATGCACAGAGTACCAAAAAGAACTAGTCGACTTTCAGAACTAATCGACTTTCAACTTTTTCAAGAGGTATCATATGAACAAGAACAATTGGTGCTGAAAGAAGAAACTCAAGCTGCATTGAAACATTAGCCCAAAACAAGGCTTCCGGAATTGATGGAGTCAATCGAAATGTGTCAACAAGCTGATGAAGCCCTGCAAGACATCGGACTGGATGAGATCCATATTTGTACCTATTCCAAAGAAAGGTGACACACAGAATGGTCAAATTATAGAATCATATCATTTATATGATATTAAAGCAAAGTTTTGCTGAATATCATCCAAAACCAGTTGCAGCAGTCATTGTGAAGGTGCAGATTCAGGCCAGATTCAGAAAAAGGACATGGTACAAGGCATATCATTGCTGATGTAAGATAGCTCTTAACTGAAAGCAGAGAATTCCATAAATATATCTACTGTTGTTCTATTGACTATGCTAAGGTATCTGACTCCTTGGATCGTAAGACAGTACGGATAGACTTGAGAAGAATAGAAATCCCAGAACACTTCATAGTGTTCACATGGAACTTGTACATGAATCAAGGGGAAGTTGTGCAAATAGAGTAAGGCAATACTGCATGTTTTTAAATCAGGAAAGTTATATGTCAGAGAAAAATCTCCCCTGTTATGCCATTGGTGCCACTTTCAACCACTGTTGAAAGCATAGTTGAACTTGGGCCAGGCTATCAAAGCCACTGCTTGCCCCCTGGCTACATGGGCCTGTAAGAATGGCCATGAGGAAGGTGGACACTGGAGAGGCAGAGGGCTGGTATTCCTGAGAGGCACACGGTGGTGGCTCAGCAAGCAGTAAGCAACTCGCACGCTCTTCACGGAGACCCCCAAGCCATTACCCAGATGAGTCAACACTCCTGCACGGCTGCTATCACTTTAGCACTTCTGGCTGCAGGTTAGCTCAGCTGGCCACAGTCTGTGATGACAATCTTCTTGGATGTCTTCCCGTTCTTATAGCCAAAAGATTCGATTTTCTTCACAACATCCATGCCCTCTGACGTGGCCGAATACAACTATTTGCCATCCAGCCAACCTCTTGATAGTGAAAATCAAGAACTGGGAGCCATTGGCGTTTGGGCCAGCATTCGCCATGGACAGGACACGTGCTCCCACATGTTTCAGCGTTAAGTTCTCATCAGGAAAGCGGCTTCCATAAATAGACTTTCCACCTGTGCCATTGTGGTTGGTGAAGTCGCCTGCCTGGCACATGAAGGAGGGAATCACCCGGTGGAAAGTTGAGCCTTTGTAGCCAAAACCCTTCTCACCAGTACACAGGACTCTGAAGTTTTCTGCAGTCTTTGACACGACATCTGCTTTTAGCTCTAGCACCACGCTGCCAAGCAGCTGCCCGTCTGCGCCTACGTCCAGGTACACGAGTAGGTTCCCGGAGGAGGGAGAGGACTGGTGGCGCGCGTCACTGCTGCGGGCATGGACTGCGGGGAGACGCGGGACTGAGTGCGGGCCAAGCCAGCGCAGCGTCAGCATCGAGGGCGCTGGTTGGGCAGGAGCCTATCTACCGCCAGAGACGCACGCGAGCCCAGAAGGCCGAGTTGGAAGAAGGCTTATTAATAACCTGTGATATGCAGATGACAACCTACTGCTGAAAGAGAGGAGGACTTGAAACATTTGCTGATGAAGATCAAGGTTTGCAGCTTTCAGTATGTGCTGCAACTAAAGAAGACAAAACCGTTACCGCTGGACCTATAGGTCACATCATGGTAAATGGAGAAAGACTGACAGGGTTTTCCTTTCTTGGTTCCACAATCAAGAGTCATGACTTCCATGAGTCAAATCATCAAAAGTGGTGTGATGTTGGGTAAATCTGCTGTACAAGACCACTTTGGGGTATTGAAAAGCAAGGATGTTACATTGAGGATTAAATAATTGTCATACATACCTGCTGAAAACTAGGTGTTCACAATTGAAGCTCTGATACCATTCATATTTGCATTTTATTATTTTCAATCCTTCGATCACAGTTTGATGTGTTTATTCTCTGTGGACTTAGTTGAAGCCTCACTTTGTTGACTGCTTTTTAAAAGACAAACCACTCTTAGAAATGTTTTCATTAAGTTAATAAAGTGCTTCTGTATTCCTTTTTTGGTTAGATTTTTCCCCCATATACTTCAGTTTCTTGGATTAGCTGCTCAGCACACTGATTTATTAAGTACGGCAAAAATATATAACTGACATTTTTTTTTTCTGATTGTAAACTACTGGTATCTCTCTGTTCTGTTTGAATGCTATCTCCTGGTTTATGTATAAGTTCTGCATGATCACACTAAAATATCTGCAATTCACTTCTTTTTTCAGTCCATATTTTATGGTTAATTACACAGTTGAAACCCCCTTGCATACTTAATGAGACACGTGCACACAGCTTGCTGCGAGTCTGTGCTTCTATCCACGATTCATCTGACAGCAGCAAGAGAAGCTGTTGTTCGCCACTCGCCACTGATTCTGACTTGAAATCTGGAAGTACCTTGTTGATAGACTGCTGAAATTATTTTTGAATTAATGTCAGCAAAATTTTGGCTATATGCAAACTAGTGATATTGTTTGATAATGTCTGCATTCCTTTGGTTCATGATATTCTTTTATTTTTTGGAATGGACACATGTTTGGATCTCTCCTTTTATTCAGTTGGTCAGGTTGCTGTCTCCCTAAAATTTTGGCATAAATGAGTGAACACCTGCTGTGTTGCATTCATTGGTTGAGACATCCCATTAGTATTCTGTGATTGGGGCCTTGTTTTTCACTAGTGAACTCATTGCAGCTTTGCAATTCTTCCTTCAGTCCTCCGTTGTTGATCATATGCTGTGAGCTGAATGATAGAACACTTAGGTCTTTTTTTGGTACAGTGACTCTATTCCTTCCTTTTTCTTTGAATGCTTCCTGCGGAGTTGAATATTTTGCCCATAAAATTCTTCAGTATTGCAACTCAATGCTTGAATTTCTTTTCTTCAGTTTTTTTCAGATGGAGGAATGCCAAGAATGTGCTTCCTTTTTTGATTTTCTAACGTCACATCTCCACCACTTGTCTGTCAGTTTGTCCTGCTGTTTTCATGAGTGATGGTCTTGAAGTCCTTCCCCAGTTCATCAGAACTTCTGTCATTCATGTTCAAAGTATCAAATCTGTACTTGCATGTCGTTGAAATTCAGATAGGATAGACTCAAGGTTGTATATTGGCTCCCATGAACTTGTTTCAATTTTCTTCAGCTCCAACCTGAACTTGCATATGATGGTCTGTTTCACAGTCAGAACCTAGGATGGTTTTAGTTTCTGATATTGAGCTTCTTTGTCATCTTATTGTACACATATAATCAATTTTTCTTCTGTGTATTGTATCTGGAGAAGTCCATGTTTATACTCGCTGTTTGTGTTGTTTAAAAAAAGACATGTGCTATGAACAAGTCGTTGAGCTTGCAAAATTCTATCGTGAAATTTCCAGCTTCTTGATTTCTGTCACAAAGACCATATTTGTCAACTACTATTCCTTTCTCTTTGTTTCCAACTTTTGCATTCCAACCAGGACTTGATTGCATTCCAACCAATGCATCTTGATTGCCTGTTCCAGCAATTTCTGACTGAAGCCATTGGTAGATTTCCTCAATTTACTCATCACCAGATTTCATGGTTGGTGCATAAATGTGAATAAAAATTGTATTAATTGGATTTTCTTGAATGGGGATGGATATAATCCTATCACAGACAACATTATATTTCAAGATAGATTTTTGAAATGTCCTTTGTGACAATGAATGTAACTCCATTTCTCTTGATTGTGCTATTCACTGAGTAGTAAGCCATATGATTTTCTGATTTATGATGGTCAATAACAGTCCCCATCAACTCACTTTCACCTTGGATAGAGATCTTTATTTGCTCCATCTCATTTCTGACAACTACAAATTTTCCTAGATTCATATGTCTACATTCCAAGTCCTGATTAATGATCAGTTAATAAAATGATGTCTGAGGTCACAGAAGAGGCGATTAAAAAGGCAGTACTCTTTACAATAGCAAAGCACAAATTGAAATACCTAGGGATATACCTGACTAAAAAAAAGAAAGATCTGTATGAGGAAAATTATAAAACACTACTTCAAGAAATCAAGAGTGATCTCAACAAATGGAAGAATATCCCATGCTTGTGGATTGGTAGACTCAATATATTAAAGATGTCAGTTCTGCCCAAAGCACTATATAGGTTCAATGCGATCCCAATATGAATATTACCATCCTTCTTCAAAGAATTGGAAAAACAGATTACCAACTTCATATGGAGGGGGAAGAAGTCCAGAATTAGCAGAGAACTCCTCAAGAAGAAGGACAAAGTGGGAGGGCTTGTCCTATCTGACTTTAGCATGTACTATACGGCCACAGTAGTCAAAACAGTGTGGTATTGGCACAATAACAGATATTTAGACCAATGTAAAAGAGCTGAAGACCCAGAAATAAAAACATGAGCATACAGGCAACTGATCTTTGATAAGGGCCCAAAAAATATTAAATGGGAAGCAAATGCCATCTTCAATAAATGGTGCTGGAAAAAATGGATATCTACCCGCAGAAAATTGAAGCAAGACCCTTACCTCACTCCATGCACAAGAATAAACTCAAGGTGGATCACAGACCTCTAGATAAAACCCCAAACAATTAGGGC